TAATTATAGCGAACAGCTGCCTCACGAGAGTGGAGACTATGTAGTCCAGAGAGTAGAATATTTATAATTATAGCGAACAGCCGTTTCAAGTCCCTCACGAGAGTGGAGACTATCTCGTTCACAGACGTAGAATATTTATAATTATAGGGAACAGCTGCCTCAAGTCCGTCATGACAAAGGAGACATATCTCGTTCAGAGATGTAAAGTATTTATAATTATAGCGAACAGCTGCCTCAAGTCCGTCATGGGAACGGAGACCTATATCGCTCAGAGACGTATATTTATAATTATAGCGAACAGCGGCCTCAAGTCCCTTCATAACAATGGAGACGTATCTCGTTCACAGACGTAGAATATTTATGATTATAGCGAACAGACAACTGAAGTCCATCACGAAAGCGGAGACTACCTCGTTCAGAGACGCAGAGTATAGCGAACAGCTGCCTCAAGTCCGTCATGACATTGGAGACATATCTGGTTCAGAGACGCAGAATATTTATAATTATAGGGAACAGCCGCCTCAAGTCTGTCATGACAATGGAGACATATCCCGTTCAGAGACGTAGAATATTTATGATTATAGCGAACAGCTGTCTCAAGTTCGTCACGCGAGTGCAGACTATCTCTTTCAGAGACGTAGAATATTTATAATTATAGCGAACAGCTGCCTCAAGTCCCTCACGAGGGTGAAGACTATCTCGTTCACAGACGTAGAATATTTATAATTATAGGGAACAGCTGCCTAAAGTCCGTCATGACAATAGAGACATATCTCGTTCAGAGATGTAGCTTATTTATAATTATAGCGAACAGCTGCCTCAAATCCGTCACGAGAGTGGAGACTATCTCGTTCAGAGGCGTAGAATATTTATAATTATAGCGAACAGCTGCCGCAAGTCCCTCACGAGAGTGGAGACTACCTCGTTCAGAGACGTAGAATATTTATAATTATAGCGAACAGCTGCCTCAAGTCCTTCTCGAGAGTGGAGACTATCTCGTTCAGAGGCGTAGAATATTTACAATTATAGCGAACAACTGCCTCAAGTGCCTCACGAGAGTGGAGACGGTCTTGTTCAGAGACGTAGAATATTTATAATAATAGCGAACAGCTTCCTCAAATCCCTCACGAGAGTGAAGACGATCTCGTTCAGAGACGTAGAATAATTATAATTATAGCGAACAGCCGCCTCAAGATCGTCCCGAGAGTGGATACTATTTCGTTCAGAGGCGTAGAATATTTATAATTATAGCGAACAGCTGCCTCAAGTCCCTCACGAGAGTGGAGACTATCTCGTTCAGAGGCGTAGAATAGTTATAATTATAGCGAACAGCTGCCTCAAATCAGTCCCGAGAGTGGACACTCTCTCGTTCACAGACGTAGAATATTTATAATTATAGGGAACAGCTGCCTCAAGTCCGTCATGACAATGGAGAAATATCTCGTTCAGAGATGTAGAGTATTTATAATTATAGCGAACAGCTGCCTCAAGTCCGTCATGGGAACGGAGATCTATGTCGCTCAGAGACGTATATTTATAATTATAGCGAACAGTTGCCTCAAATCCGTCACTAGAGTGGAAACTATGTCGCTCAGAGACGTAGAATATTTATAATTATAGCAACAGCCGCGTCAAATCAGTCCCGAGAGCGGAGACTCTCTCGTTCAGAGACGTAGTAAATTTATAATTATAACGAACAGCTGCCTCAAATCATTCCCGAGAGTGGAGACTGTCTCGTTCGGAGACGTAGAAAATTTATAATTATAGCAAACAGCTGCCTCAAGTCCCTCACGAGAGTGGAGACTATCTCGTTCACAGACGTAGAATATTTATAATTATAGGGAACAGCTGCCTCAAGTCCGTCATGACACTGGATACATATCTGGTTCAGAGACGCAGAATATTTATAATTATAGGGAACAGTCGCCTCAAGTCTGTCATGACAATGGAGACATATCTCGTTCAGAGACGTAGAATATTTATAATTATAGCAAACAGCCGCCTCAAGATCGTCCCGAGAGTGGAGACTATTTCGTTCAGAGACGTATAATATTTATAATTATAGGGAACAGCTGCCTCAAGTCCGTCATGACAATGGAGACATATCTCGTTCAGAGATGTAGAGTATTTATAATTATAGCGAACAGCTGCCTCAAGTCCGTCATGGGAACGGAGACCTATGTCGCTCAGAGACGTATATTTATAATTATAGCGAACAGCCGCCTCAAGTTTTTCACGAAAGTGGAGAGTATCTAGTTCAGAGACGCAGAATATTTATAATTACAGCGAACAGCTGCCTCAAGTCCCTCACGAGAGTGGAGACGTATTTCGTTCAGAGACGTAGAGTATGCATAATTATAGAAAACGGCTGCCTCAAGTTAGTCACGAGAGTGGAGCTTTCTCGTTCAGAGATGCAGAATATTTGTAATTATAGCGAACAGCCGCCTCAAGTTTTTTTTCTATCCGACGAATCGTTAAATTCTTTTAAAAAATTCTTTGACCTAGTACTAGTACGGAGGAAAACTTAAAGCCAGTACTTCCTATCTTTCGGATGTTATAGCCTCCAAAAGCCCCCGCGGGTCCGTTATGGAGAAACAGACAACAGAGGACAGAAAAAAAGGTATTCTTTATCGACGCTAAATCCTTTGGTACCAATGGCCACCAAGTACAACGAAATGTAAACCAAGATCTCGAGTTTAGCGAGGAGCGCAATTACTTTCGTGAAACACGATTTCATCGGTTTCTCGAATGTAACAAGTGTGGTCGACATATCGTAGCTCTATAGAACTGTATCATCAACTTATGGACTGTGAAGCTTCCTAGCGCCCGGCAGGTAGGCCACTTTCGTGACACTATGGTTAACCCCAAAGTCACAGCATGCAGAATCACGTCGTCGTTTATAGAAATGTTTAATTAGTCCCTATATATTTATTTATTACGTATTTATTTAATGAATATATTGTTGTAAACTATGCGTTTTTGTTTTACTTACGACTTATTTTTGTTATGAATTGTTCGGATAATTCACACAAAATTATCCGAGAACCTTAGTACCGCCAATAGCAGACGAATTATTGTTATAAACACTGCAAGCCCTGGCATAAAACTATCCAGAAATATCTTCATCATCGGCAAAACTCTCGTAAAAATATTGTTTTCAACGCCATATACTCAATAATCTCAAAATATCCCTACAGAAGAGAAATTGGTGGCGCATCCAACTGCGACTTCAAAGAAACCGAAATCGCCACCACCATCAGCACAAAAGGCAGAATCAACCCTTAGAAATTTGACAAGACATCGCGACTCGACTCTAAAAGTCAATCTCCAAAAATTTGCATTTTCATTAACATTATTCAATAAAATATCAAAATATCAAATAAAACATTCTTCAAGACTCTTTAAAAGTGTTTAGAAAAAAAACATCTCATTTATTTATTCCTTATCATATGTAGATGAAGGCTTAAAAAGTGTACCTTCGTAACCGAAAGAGCATTAACTGGCAGAAGCTAATAGAATTGATCGCTTCTTCATTGAATAAAAGGATGCAACCAAAAAGTAGAATCAAAATGTACGAAAAAAACCTTTAACTCTTGTGCGAGGCGGGCGCATAACTAAAAATGAGAAAAGAAAAAGATATATAATATTCTATTACAATGAGATTCGGACCATAACGGGACATTAACTTCAATGGCTGCCAAAATGATGAATGCCCGCGATTTATCACATAAGCATCCGTACCGCAGTCGGTCCGACGTCATCACCAATAAAATTAATACTGAAATTAATAAGCCTGTCACTTAGGTTACTCTGGAAAACAAAAATTAATTCAAATTTGAATAATGAGGAGACAAGTCGAAAGAATTCGGAAGTTTGGAAGACATATCAGGTCTTTAAGTCTAACTAAAAGCCAACCGTGATACAAATTAAGAGAATTCAGAAAAACCGTAGTTGGGTGTTATCAAGAGTTTCGCGTTTGTGGAAAAACACTTGAGCACAGATATCCCGTCCCAGGGATGCACAGATCAAGCACTGACCAATCCAGGTTGGAGATGTTAATTGAATTAACGCAAGGAGTCTTCATATAATCGGCATTGCTATTTCTCACTTATACGTTGGTGGTAAGCTGGTATTGAATTTTATCCGTTGGTTTGTTGATGTCCGATTGGAATCTCGGAGACGGTTCGCCAAAATCCAACTTGGCATTTTGAAAGATTGTCTATAAAACTAATTTCATGACTGCAAAAGAATTGCTTGTAAACACTTTGTACCAGGCTATCGAGGTTGCTAAAAGTAGTGAAATCTCTACTTTTATTCTTTTTACTCTTTACTCTTCAATTATTTTTATCTGTGGGAATGAACAATATTATTAGTAATTGGATTCTATAAATACATCAGCCACTTGAATTATTGAATAATTTACATCATTGTTATTCAATATTGCTCTTCATAGCCTATAGAAAGACACATTCCTCAAATTTGCTATTTCCGGAAATATAAAGTAATTAAGATGTGCCCGTCAATACTTTTTACCTTTAACATATTGTCTTTTCTTACTGCTCGAACAGATTACATAATCGTCGCCATTTCGCTTCTTCTATTAAAATTTTCCAGGTTGCTACTTTAATTGTTCTATTAAACAATCCAATGCACTTTTTGTTTGCTGTTGTTATTACAGGTGGATTCACCACGTTGGCTTGCGAAAGTAACTTCCATATTTGTCAAGACCAATTTCTTGGGTTATTCTTCTTAACCGATATGTTCCAGTTTTTAGGCGCCGGAAACTCTCCTTCACCCTCTTCCGTTAGCTACGCAGCGTACACACAAATGGTACGAAACGCATTGGCCAGGGATCACGACGTGGACGTGGAAGTAGGATTTGTTGGTATACGCTTTAATAAGCAAGCAGTGGACGTTTCTCCGAGTTTTAATATAGTTCAGGCATCGGCAACCCAAACTACCTCCGAGGTCCAAAAACCAACCATTTGATCCCCATATAAATGCAGTCAGTTCCACAATAATGCAAGAAGTTAGTGTTCGATAAAATTGTAAAACTTTTTTTTTGTTTTGACTTACATTACATTTACATTACATTACATTTCGTTAAGTGTTTTTTTGGCCAGTATAAGAATGCATAAAAAAGTTACTACTTACCATAATATTAAAACACCTAGTGGAACACATTTTGTGCATTCATTGCCTTTAAATGCATTTGTTAGTGAATAGGAGGGAAATGAACGTCGAACACCTAAAGAAGAAAAATGTGGGTCCATACAACTATTTTTAAGTACTGAAATTTATCCAAATTATCATGTCAAAGATGAACATGACAACGATTCTTCATATTGATCGCTGTGCTATCAAGAGTGACCGAAAATTTCTTGCAAACAAGCAGAATTAAGAGTAGGGAGTCATACTTTTCTTAAAGCACACTGTTGGTCAAAAGTTATTTCGCTCTTGAAAACAAACCAATGCAAAAATACAAACCAAAAAACAACGCTAGCTTTAAACAAAATTCTGGATATGCAAGTTGAGACCAGTTATTCCATCCACAGTTTGTGTTGAATTAGAAAAATTGGACCACATATCCAAAAATTAAACCATTTCTATTTGAACCAAATATTAACTAGTGGCATTATTTGATCCTGAGTAATACTAGTAAACTAATTACAGGGCACTTCCATTGGATTGCTGCAAATCTTATGCGTCATTGTACTTTAACGTAACTAATATCTCCAGAGAAAAAAAACCTAGTCTAAATAAATAATTTATTACTTACTCGCTAGAATTGTTCGCCATGCATTGTCCTCTCCCCGCGTAAAATGGGGAAGCAATAAAAAAGACGGACGGACGGACGGTTGTCCCCACGACCGACAAATAACTGGCGTGTTAGAAAAACGAAAAGTATTTATTTTCTGAAGATTTAATCACGGGAGATTATGCCCTCTATTTTTAAATTGATTTTTTCAATGATAATCCAACTCAGTAACACCAACTATTTAAGCGATAACCAAAATGTCGGATTTTGTAATTGTACCGGTAGCTCAGAAACAAACCCTAATGGCTATGTAACATTTTTATTTTATAAAGATGAATTTACTGATCTGGTTGTTTCGTGCTTATGAGCATAAAACGGTTATTCGATAATTTGAGTTCATTACGTAATACAAGAAAAGCAGTGTTAAGCTCCTACAAGGCAGATCTGGCAGAATAGCAGCCCCACTAAGGGTAGTATAGAAGAGATAACGGCAACGGGTGATCCTTTACTGATCGTGAGCACAATACCAGGAGGATTAGAATGGGCACGAATTAGTCAGAACCATTAACTATTGCTCCAAGTATACATAACTAAAAATGTAATGTAATGGCCTTGAGTCCGTTGTAGGAATTAAAATGGCCACGGGGCGAAGAATGAGAACAGAGCGAGGACGATATGACCAATGCATGCAATGCATGCTTTAGATTACCCTTACGCAGTCTTTACAGCTGGAGATCGCCATAGGACGACAAACAGGGCTGAGATTGAACACATAACGATCAGAATACACTTCAGAAATAATTATATAGACATAAACCGAAGACAGATTTAAACAAGACAGAAGAAAATGAACATCGCACTACTTAATGACAAAGAAATTAAAGCAAACATTTCGAACAAAATGAAAGGCAAGAAATTACACTGAAGGAAATGACACACAATCACTATTGGAAACTGTTAAGGAAACAATTGTCAAAAGCGAGACACTATAAGCCCCAGACTACAAGATAAATATTAATACTCACAAATAAAACTGAAAATCACAGAAGCGAAGGAAGAGTCAACTATAAAATCCTACAGGTAGATTGACGCGCTCCAGATGATGCGTGACGATGCGCGATGACCATGATTTTATAAAAGGAAATCTATGGTTTATTTAAAAGTAAACCTCCGCATCGACTGCTTCACAACGAAAATAAAATCTTAAAAATATCCAAAAAAATAACTACACAAGAGAAGATTATATGGTAAGACTTTTCCGAGATCGAGAAAGTCTTGTGAATGCGGCATATACTGAGTAAAGTTTAGACATTTTAAAATCAGTAACTTGCAAATTCCCACCACACTATCGATTATGAGAGAGCGGTCGAGAGAATTGATCTCTTAAAGCGAAAGATTTTTAAATGGTTTCGTGAAAGATGTTAAAATAAATAGGGAGGTCTTAAACAATCTACGGATACGGAAAACGAAGCTTCGCTTCAAGAGTTACAAAAGTCGGGAACGAATACGAACTGAACACAATGTTCTAAGAATAATGTTGCGGTTATTTCCAAAAAGGTATTTGGGCCAACGAACACAAGGGTAAATAACGAAGTGCTACAACAAGTAGCTAAATTTAGGTATCTTGGATTTCAGATGGCTGAAGTTTGAGAACAGGACGTAGGGGTTAAGGCCGGAATCAAACAAAATGAAGCTATTCTCTTGTAACTAAAATTTAACGCTAAATCCCGATATCATATGTTCCAGTGCCACATTTGTTCTATTTATACAATTTCAATATTAAATGCAAATTTTAAAGAAATGAATGGGAGTAATTGTCCGATCCTGGTGTGGTGGTGTGTCTATGGTGGTGTGCGTGTGATGGTGTGCGTGTGTGTGGTGTGACGTGGTGAATATGTACCAGCTCAAACCACCATATTTAATCAGGCAGTTTATGCTGAATCCTTAATTACCGCGGAAAAAATTATATTCAAACAATTTAAGAGTGGTTACAGGAGGCAAAGGAACAAAACCTATTTCTATCATTTTTAAAAGCATATTGTCTCTTAAAATTAGAGATGTGATTCCCAAAAGGAAGCCGTATACAATATTCACAGACCACAGAAGATTTGGAATGGATGGAAATGTCATGAAGGGCTTAGCTACAAAATGTGGAGCTAAACATTCTCAACTTCTTACCTCCATGAGATTTAGAAAAAACATTACTATGACCTTGCAATTAACCTGCAAAAAACTCATTGCTCAGTTTTATCGGTCAGTTATTAATTATAATTTTTAAATTTGTTCAAATCATGGACATACTCACATATTGTTTTTATTTTATTGTTTTGTTTTGTTTTTATTGTTTTAATTTTAAAAAGGTCTTCAATAAATAAATATGATCAAGTTCTAACTTAATCATTTCCTTTATACCAGCTTCCTTTTAATCTATGTGTGTGTCTTAGTAGGGGCAATTAGGTACGATATTGGGGAAATGCATGTTTTTAAAATTTTGAAAAAAAAATTGAATGACCAAAATTATTCTTGAGGTTCTGAAATGGCACTAGACAGAATTTTGTAAAGAAAAAAATGCGAAGATATGATTTTTTATTAATAGTCAAACAAATGAACAACCCAGTGAAAACCGCCAATATATTTTTCTTATCCTAAAGTCGTAGTCGTTTAAGTAAATATTGGCTCAAAACAGGACGAAACGTCATCATTGTTTTTGCCTATGGCCCATTCAGGCTTAACTTGGGTATTAGTAAAACATCGATACACTGAATTCTAAAAGACCACTACCTACGCCGTTATACTAAATTACTTAAAATTCTCTTTGAATAGAATACTATAATTGGCTAAATTGTAGGATAGATGAGGAGCCCACATTTTTTATTTCGAATATTATGAACAAATGAAGCTACTTTTTCGAGCAAAGAAATAGTCAATTTGCATAGCATGTATATTGATGCCTTTCAATGCAATGCATAATATGCATTATCGCCAGTGAATTTCCATTGGATGCGTGAAAGCGAATTATCAAAAGAGGTCGAATGTGAAAGTCGAGAGTCGTATTTTGGGTGATCGATTTAACTACTTGCCGATTTTATAAAAAAAAAAAAAAACGTCCCTCTACGAGAGGAGATGCGTAGCTGCAACACGATGGATGCGTAGTACACTTCTCTCAAGAAGGAATTTTTTCTACCAGACTTATCAAATTAGCAATTATGATTTAGCAAACCCGTTGGAAAGGAAGGGGTATTGGTATTGGTACTAAAGTGGGGCGCCCTGCGTCCCCCCCCCCCTCTATAGAAGGTCAACAACTATTGTAGCCCAATACCGTCCGCTGCCTCATTGCCTCGGATACCGGTGTGACTCTCGCGACCCAGAGCAACGTGACATTCCTCTCCTCGGCCACTCTCTTCAGTACCCCTTTGCACTCCTTTATCAACAAGGAGCGCGTGCGCACTGACTTCAGCTCCATAAGTGCAGCCCTCCTATCCGAGCAGAAGAAGACCCTCCTGCTTCCGTGGTTGAGCCAAAGCAACTCTCTGGCCGCCATCAATAAAGCGAAAATTTCCGCCTGAAACACAGTGCAGTACTGACCCAAACCCAAGCTCGATCCCGTTGTCTCGCAGTACGCTCCAGCTCCGGCTGATCTCCAATTCTGGACCCGTCCGTGTGCCAGATAAGTCCATCCCAGAAGCCGACTCTGCCCTCTCTCCACTTTTCAATTGATGGGAACAGAAAGGTCCATTTGTCAAAGAAGGTCATCTCGGGGATCATGACATCACTCGGCATGCCCATGACCCCGCGATCCTTAGGCCCGCCCTCTAAAATGTAGTACAAGCCCCGATTGAAGCTTCCCTCCCTCCAGAGCCCGCAGCTCGCCAGCCTCACAGCCGTCCTGGCCGCCTCCATCTGCACCCGATCCGCCAAAGATAAACATAAAAAACATTAAATATTAACATTTTTTGCCAATCTGAATTCTATCGCTTTAATTTAAAAAGCCAAAAAAACTGTTGAAAGTGTCAACCATTTTCTCTAAAGCACAACCTACACCAATCAAATTATCTCCAAGAATACGATATACGATTTCGGTGCCTAGTAAACAGGCCACACTGAAACTAAAACGTAGCTTTATTAATTAAAAGAATTATGTTCAGATTTGCAAAAAATGCTAAAAAATTTTATGTTCCTTATCACTTTAAATAATTGTTTTAATATCTAGGTTGACGTTTCGGTTTATCTTTTTGAATAACATATAGGACATATAACATCGGATGCCCTTTTCACCTTTCCGATATTTCATAGAATATCGGAGATATGAGAGGTGCCTCAAAATTGAAAAATTCCAAAATCACCGAAATATACACTGCTAAGAGCTTATGACTCTCAAGATAATTATACACAGAGATCGCCACCAGGTGGGTTTTAAAAACACATCAGTGTATCAAAGATGTTAGGCTTTCACGGCCACAAACTACACTGCTAAGTATTTCCGGGCTTTTGAGCCGTGGCCCCGAGATTACACTCGACGTTTCGTCTACAACTGCGGCAGACATTTTCAAGATGCGATGACTGATTTGCCTAGTGGAGAATCCCCGGTATATAAGCGCGCTGGAGTGGGCGAGGCCTCGCTATTAGGCATAGGTCGTATTCGTCCGGGTAGACATGATTTTTTGTTTATGACGTTCTGCTGACGTTAAGGCCTTTTTCTTTTCTGTTGAAATTATTCTGATGTTTCTGAATTTCAATGGCTTCTCTGAAAAGTCGTGGATAAAAATGTGTTGTCCTGTCCAGTACCTGAGTGTCTTCAAACATGATGCGTATGCTCCGCCACTGCTGACATGTCCGTATGTCCCAGGAGCAAGCAAGAATATGTTGTTTGGGTAAACACAACTTTTTAATGGATCCTGCACATTATTACATTTTTGGATTCTACCTAAGTTTCTAGGAAAATTTCATATATAATGCTCTATACCAATGTCTTCCTATGTCTACATTTTTATCTCAAATATGTCATTTGCAGGCCCTAGGACTAACAAGAATTTTTTTCTAAAAGGAAATCGTTATTTTTTAATTTGGGTTTAAGAGAACTTCTATAATCCTTTCATGACTAATAATACAGGGTGTTCAAAAAGTAACAATAAATACTAAATTAAGAAAACTTCCAAAAATCATTAAATGGAAACCCCCAAATTTCATAATTTTATCTTATTTACCATTAAAAATAAAAATAAGTTTGGATAAGATTAGGTTGTCTATGCTGAAAATGTTTAGCTTTCGAACGATTGTCAAATTAATATTCTTATATGACGATTTTACTGCGGGTTTCGTGCTGTGTTATACTTGACAACGAATAAAAAGTCAATAAAGAAGAATATGATAAACAAAAAAGCCGGAAATGTCACAGGCTCTAGGTAAAATGTAAATCCGTCGTTTTTATCTTATTACTGTCAAAAATATGGCTCCATACACTGATGAAGTGCGTTTCCAGTTATATGAGTGCTTTATTCCCAATAATGAAAGTCCAGCTTTGGCTCTTCGGGAGTACCGGCAATTATATGCAGCAAGCAGATTACCTACTAAACAGATTTTTAGTAGAATAGTGCGTAACCTACGAAATACTTCAGCCATAAAAAAACACCAGAACGAACCCGAGAACTCAGTCAAATTGGCATTCAACTCTATTCACTCAAAATTATTTTCCATTAAAATTCCTCCCTGTTCAGTTATTAACAGCTGAAGATAAGGATGCAAGAGCAACATTTTGCGCTCTAATGATGGACCGTTACTTTGAATCCATATTTGAAACAGCATTATGGACTGACGAAAGTTTTTTTAATACGACCGGCATTATTAGTAGATCTACTAGTAACAAACACCGTGTTAAAATTATTCAGAAGCAGGGTTACAGAAGTTAGTGTGGTATAATATCTATTTTTTATGAAGGCCATCTTAATGGTGATCGGTATTTAAACCTATTAGCTAGCAGAATTATCCGCTTATTGACGCTCTACTGGAACAAGTTAAACATGATCAAATCTTTCAACAAGATAGTGCTCCTTACCATACGTCACGATCTGTTATTAACTGACTGAACAACCCATTTACAACTTGGATAGGTCGACCCGGAACAATACCTTGGACAGCTGTTAGCTCTGATTTAGATTTCTTTCTATGGGGAAACCTAAAAAATAAAGTTTATCAAAATCGGACTGAAATAGGGAGAACAAAGAGCAAATAATACAGGAAATACTTAATATCAACGGATCTAAAATGGTTAGTGATGCTATAAATAAAATGGAAACTATATATACGACGTGTTTGGCGGTTTATGGAGGACATGTTGAAAATTTATTATAATACCTGTTGTTCCAATCCAAATCCAAGTCAATTCTTCAAGTATTATATCTGACATATTATAGTTTTTTTTAACTAAAAATATGTCACATTTTATATATATTTCTTTGGAATATTATTGATTTTAAACGCTGATAAAATTATAAAATTGCAGGGGTCGGTCCATTAAAAAAAAAGATTTTGACAGTTTTCTTAAATTATTACCTAATCTTACTTTTTGAACACCCTGCATTATTAGTTAACAAAATATTATTATTTTAATAAATTAAATATTATTTTTAATGGTAAATAAGATAAAATTATGAAATTGGAGAGGTCGGTCCATTTAAAAAAAGATTTTTGACAGTTTTCTTAAATTAGTATTTAATCTTACTTTTTGAACACCCTGCATTATTAGTTAACAACATATTATAAACATTGTGTTAAAGTATGTTCTTGCCAACAACGTATTAAACCCAAATTAAAAAAATAAAGATTTCCTTTTAGGAAAAATTGGTATTAGTCCTAGAGCCTGACATGACAATGACATATTTAAAATAAAAACTTAAATATGTCAAAAACCATTAGACATAGATATAGAACATTTAATTGACGAACTCAACAATGGCTAGATTGGCGAGAAAATAGACTGTATAATTTATAGGAAAACTATGAATTGAGGCCTTATTACTTTAGTGTGTGTTTGATCGACCTGGGAATCCCGGATTATGGGGGGAGCCGGCCGACTGAGGCGATTGGAATACTCTAAATTGTCACTAACAGATAATTGTTAATTGTTAGTCTATCGGAACGACCGCAACAGGGAAGGGAGAAAATCACGAGTGACAAATTAATAAGTGTTGGTTTTTCTGCAACGTTCTACCGAGTACCGATCGATCGATACATTTCGAATCCAAAAAACCACTACTTGCACTTTGCATTTGCGTATAGGCCTTAAAACGTACCGGGAAATTAAAATACTAAGAAAGTGTCAACATAAATTGCGGTGGTAGTAAATTCTTTTTCCCTTTTAATATAAGGGCAACGAACATTAGAAAAATGACTAAATTAAATTAATTAACTATTAAAAGAACATGCAAACGTAACATTCCGCCTACCAAAATACAACGAATTTTTTTAATGTGTTATTTGTTGGTAGCGGACAGTTTAATAACCGGGCTATTTGAAGTCTTTACAAGAGCCACTCTACCTAAACCGTCTTCCATTGCATTGGCGGGTCGAGATCATCTTTGATTAGTACCAGCGTACCAATTACAACAGAAGAAGGATCTTTATACTATTTACTACGCTGATGATACGTATATCAAAATTCTTTGGACCACCGGGCCCAGAAATCTTGATGCATTCGCTGGAGTAGTTGCCAACGATCTAAGTGACTAAGAGAAGTCGAAGTGTAATCGTTTTCAGGGGTGCCAGCACGGGTTTCAATGTAAGAAAATAACCCGGCGTGAGGGCTGAAAGGTCGTAGGGATCGGTACTAAAAGCGGTAAGTGGGCGAGAATTCAAAATGACTTCAATTTGGATGAAAACAGTGTTCAACTCTTCATATGTTAATATGTGACCACAAAAGACCCTGTAAAGGTGAATTTTAACCGCTTTCAACCCCGCTTCCTACAACCCGCCAAAATGTGGAGCCGAAGGGGAGTTGAAGTGCCAGGTGATACACACTTTATTGGCGGACTCCCGCATAAAACTATTTTGAGCACCTACAAAATTTGAAATAGCCCAGAGGTATTCGATGCGAAGGTTGCACCAACGATTTTCACTTAAAATATATTAAATTGCCCAACGCGATTGCGGAGCTGGATCGCGATCCTGGATGCGTGTGGAAATGTAAACATTGTATCGGAACGGAACCTGATGTCTCCAAGTACTTTCAAGAAGTAATTGTAAAGGTTAATTCACTCATGTCAACTACGAGCGAATTAAAGGTTGAGCAAGGTCTCTTTAAAAATTCCTTGTAATTTTTTGGGGGGAAAATTGATGACTTTACTGCCCAGATGGAAACAGTTAAAAAATACCTTAGGAGATTAATAACTTAAAAGAGGAACTTGTATCAGTTAAAGCTGAATGTAGCTGTTTGAGATCAGAACTGGAGTGGATGAAGCAACAGGATAGAAATATTAACTTGGAAGTATGTGGTGGTGAAAACGTTGGAGATATTGTTAAAAAAATTGGAGAGACCCCACAAATTGAACTTCAGGATGATGATATTGTCTCCAGTCACAGAGTCATCCAATTTCCGGGTGTTGCCTCCAAAAACACCCATAAAAATATGGTGGTTAAATTTCAGTCCATTTCGAAAAAAACTGAAGTCGCACGTGCAGCAAAAAAGCGAGAGATTTGCAATCACTACTTAATACCTGAATATTTGATTACCCAGAAAAAAAACAAGATCTTCATTAAAGGCAGCAAAAACGTTTGCCAAGAAACGAAAATACAACTACTGCTGCGTGCAAAATATGAAAATATTATTAAGAAAAGGAGGTTAGCCGTGCTATCCACATTGAAAATGAAAATGTTTTAGCGTACCTGAGTTAGTTTTCTAATTGGAAATTATATTAACTTATATGGAAGTTATCCTTATTACATTTTTTTGAAATTGTCTCCAAACGACTTTTTTAGTGTATACTATCAGAATACCAGAGGACTATGAACAAAATTGAATGATTTTTACTTGGGTGTTACCTTATCGGAGTTTGACTGCGTTTATATAAAAGAATCCTGACTTAACTCAGATATCCATAGTGCTGAGGTTTTTCCTTCCGGGTTATAAAGTTTTCCGACAGGACAAAAACGCCGTAGTTAGTGGTAAAAAGGATGGTGGTGGTCTTTTGATAATGATGCGGAATGTTTATCAAGCACAAAAATTGTTACAGTGGTACAATAGCGCTAATATCATTGAGGATATCTGGGTGTCTTTGTTGCTGGAGGGCGGTAAACAATTATTTTTTACCAACATAATATTAAAACCACCCCAGAGGATCCAAAAATAAATAAAAATTTTGACGAATCCAAATTTAAATTCGATGAAATTATTATTCAACCAAGAACAACACAAAGTTAAAATACCCGTGACAGAACAAAATGGTATAGGAATCTTAAAATATGAAAAATTTGTAAATGCCGGAAGCTTTAGTAAAAATTATCGATTCATGCACGTTAACAACTATTACTAACACATCTGAAAATCCTGTTAGTATACAATTTATAGAACCTCTAGAAATTGAATTAATAAATGAATGTGAAACTAATTTTATTGAAAAAATAGAAGATAACAATGAAAATTAAATCGAACATTCAATAAGTAATTTCGACAATCTGCAAAAAGAAAATCTAAAAAATTTAAGACTGAATCACTGCAATAAAGAAGAATACAAAACGATTAGGAAGTTATGTTACGAATATCGACATATTTTATTGCGATAAAGTGCCATTAATCTTTCACAAATCAAATTAAACACAAAATTAATTTAACTGACGAAACCTCCGTTTACACAAAAATTACCGTCATCCTGAAGTACATAAAGCCGAAGTAAATAGACAAATAGGCGAAATGCTAAAAAATAATATAATCCAACCCTCACATTCCCCGTGGAGTCCTATATGGATCGTACCAAAAAAATTAGATGCATCAAATAAACGTAAATGGCGCGTTGTCGTAGATTACCGGAAACTTAATGAAAAAACAATCGATGATAAATTTCCCTTGCCTAATATTTCAGATATTCTCGATAAAGCTCAGTATTTTTCAACTCTGGATCTAGCTAACGGTTTTAATTTTTTTAATTAATTAATTTTTTAATTTTTACGGACCATAGACCATTAGTCTGGTTATTTAACCTAAAAGAACCAAATTCAAAACTTATGAGATGGAGACAAACTAGAAGAATTTGATTACGAAATTCTTTATAAAAATGGCAAACAAAACACAAATGTCACGAATAAAATTAAATGCTTTAGAAACCGACTCTATTTATAATAATACTGGAGATATTGATCTTGATATTAATACATTTTTAGACAACAATTTTGATCCGAATAAATTAGACTGGAATGAAATTTCAAAAACACTCGAGGAAATAAAAAATAAACGCCTAAAAAGCAAAAAAATAATCATTCTGGAAAACAAACTTTTAAGGCCAGTTTTTGAAAATACAATACATAGTACTAATACTGACGAAACTTTACAGGGAATACCTATATTAAATGAAATTATTAACAACAAACCAAATCAGATAATCCTTCAGAAATCTCCTTACTCTACTTATGTTAAATGTAACTTTAAAAACTTCGACGGTCATAATATATTACATGCAACAATTCCAGAAGAAGAAATTAGTTTCACAAAATTCTTCAAAGAACATTTAAATAAGAAAAATACGTATATTCACTTTTTATCTCAACAACTAAGACCAATTGTACAAAAAGTAATCGCCCAACATCTTCAAAATTATAAACTAATCGAATGCACAAAATTAATAAATAATATTGAACCGGAAGAACGAAATATATTAATTAAATATAAACATGAAGGTAAAACTAATCACAGAGGCATAGAAGAAACTTGTAAATTTCTAAAAAATAATTATTACTGGAAATCCTTAAAGTTAGATGTTACAAAATATATTAACGAATGTTAAATTTGCCAGCGAGCAAAATATCAACGAAAACCACCAGATCAACCTTTAATGTTAACTGAAACACCTTCAAAACCATTTGAAATTATACACGTCGATACCTTTATTGCCGGCGGACAAAAATTCTTAACTATAATTGATAAATTCTCTAAGAACTGCGATTTCAGCATGCCAAAAATTAGTACAT